TGTATTGTGACTATGATTTTTGTAATCAGTACATAAAATTACATAAGTATGCGTAGTACTAAAAAACTTCAAAGTTTGCATGAGAAAATAGTCAAATTTCATATTTTTCAAGAATTCCAAAAAAATTGGATTTGTTTACCTATCCCATCAAATTTGTGTAAAAGAAAGTAGTTTTTTACACATTATTTTTAAAAGCAATTTTAAAAACAAGATTTTTATCTATAATTGATTTAAAAAATTAGTGAATTTTACGTAAATTTCGTTTCAAATTTCCAAAAATTCCATCTACAAATTAAAATTTTGTATATTAAAGAATATTAACATTGATCCAATTTTGTGGAAATTATAAACAATTAAAAAAATGTTTTTTCTTTAATATCGTAAATTTTAAAAAATTCATATTTCGTAATTGGGCGTATGAATTTGTTTTTAGAATCATTAACCTCTTTTCCGTAGAATAGAATTTAAGTCAATTTAAAAATTGTTAGATATTTCTCTATCGATGGGACCTCAAAAAAGTGGGATTTTCGTCACCTTCTTTTTTCTAGGGTACGTTTTTCCCATAACTTGAAAAACACATGTTTTTATTTAAAATTTAAGTTATAAAAAAAGGGGAAAAAGAAATTTTCCAGTTTTTGAGGTTCCATCGATAGAGAAATATCTAACAAAGAAAATGTTTTTTATTTTATTCCTCTATCTGTTGTAAAAATCTCGGAATCGATCCCCTCATGAAAAATGAACATTTTTTGAAAATGTTGTACATCGCCGCCATCTTGGACTTCAAGTGACAAAAAATTTTTTTTTTTCATATTGTTCAATAAGTTATTAATAACATGTCATGGTTTTTTTAGATATACATGCTAAAAAGCCTTCTTTTTCCTAGTTTTGAACTGGAATGCCCCCTTAAGGAATTTTTGTCTTTAATCAGGGAAAAGTCAGGGAGTTTCTAAAACAATCTGTATTAGATACTTTGTTGATTAGAAAATTAAATCACAAAAAATTGCCTACAATGAATAACCTTGTAGAAACCTGTTTTCTGAAACGATTCTTTTTTCCGCTTCTGCCTAGAAAACTATATTTAATTTCGACCTCTGGAGGAAACAATTTGTTTAACGTATTTTTGACTGTCATGCACAGTTGCCGGAATTTTACCAATCGATTTTATGAATTTTACCTGCAAATAAATATTATTCAAATCACATTCTAAACCTTTTATAGTTTAGTAGATATTTGATGTTCTTTGTTTACATTTTAGCATAATTTTTTTAAAATTTCTTGTTCTGAGATATGGGAATAAAATTTTTTGGAGATCAAAAAAATTAATCGAAGAAGTAATTAATTAACTGAATAAATAATCTTTGTATTCATTCCTTCATTCATTCACATTTTTCTAGTACTTGAATTTTCTCATTATTATTAGATTATATATACATATATATCTTTACTTTGATAATTAGGGTTCTCGAAGGTTTCTACCTGAAATTTGTTTTCGCAAAACAGCTTTCGGTTGAGGGTTCGTAAGATGGTCGATGACATTTTAAATACTGTCCTGAAAGGTGAAGTTGTGTCCCCCACTTTATCAGCCCAGTTCGAACAATCACCATGTGGTTATATGTACTGGAGAATAAAAAGCAAGAAGAAAATTGTTGGTGCCAGCACCTTTGGGTTAAATCGATTTACAACACATCATGTAGGTTTATTGAATTGAACTAAAATTATAAAACTTTTAAATATTAACATTTATTATTATTATTGGAGCAATATATGCTCGTAATCGTGAACATAGAGCAACCGTCTACCGTTGCAACAACATTGTAGCAGTGTCGCTAAAAAAAAGCTTCTAATAGTCTCAGGTAACTTAACTTGATTATTATATAGTTTATAATATTTTTCTGCAATTTGTCGATCAATAACTTACTGCATGTGTTGAATCTTCTTATATTATATTTGTGTTTTTCATTTTTGTATTGGGCCCAAAAAATAAATTCCTCTTTTTGTATAGTATTAATAATTATATATGTATTTTGAGGGTAAAACATTGATTATTGAATAATTTTTTTATGCATAAAATATGGATATTGCATAATATTGGTATAGAAGATATTTGTTTCTTTTGGTTGTCTTAAATGTTTTATATAAAAAATACTTCAATCCATTTAGTTTTTTTGGTATTGGATAACATTGGCATTAAAGATATTACGATTTTGAGAATAAAGAAAGATATTGGATTACATTGGGATTGAATATATTTTGATAATGCAACAAAAATATTCATTGTTTGATAATAGTGGAAGCTGGTTTTTGGAAACTTTTTTTGGTATTGGATAATTTTAGCATTAAAGATATTTGGATTTTAAGGATAAAAAATTATATTGGATAACATTAGTATCGAATATATTTTGATATTAGAAAAAAATATTGATTATTTGAACATAGTGGAAGTTAGTTTTTGGAAAAATTTTTTGGTATTGGATAAGATTGGTATTAAAGATATTTGAATTTTGAGGATAATAAAATATGATATTGGATAACATTGGTATTGAATATATTTCGATATGGAAAACAAAAATTGACTGTTTGATAATAGTGGATGCTGACTTTTGGAAAAGTATTTAAATAGAAAGAAAGAGGGTTGAATATTGTTTTAAGGGTTGAAGTTGTTTCACGGGTTAAATAATAGTTTGTGAGTTGAATATTGATATGAATATTAATAAAAAGTGCAGAGGAAAATAAGTTAAATAATAATCATTATCAAAAATGATGTAATGTGGAAAAAGATTAAACAACGCTAATTCACGTTCATAAAAGACTATCATTGTTGCATTAGTTAGCTGAATTATAGTTAATGAAATATTTTATAGGTGAAACACAAGTAAGTAAATTTTTACTTTTTTTCAAGAATTATTAAAAAATGATTCAAATTCTTTTTTCATTATGCAAAGTACTTTGTATTTACAAATGCTTGATTTAATTGTTCCAATTGGAGAAAGAGATAAACATATTCAAATAGTTTTTAGCGGTAATAACAATTCTGGTCATTGGATTTGTGTTTATTACGATGGAGTAAGACTTTATATTTTTGATAGCCTTAATGCAGGGTGTTTGAATATTCATCAAATAGAATATTTAATTAGATTGTTCCCTTTTAAACCAACAGAATTTTTTGTAGGTGTTGATCAACAACCGATTGGTACAGTTAAGTGTGAAGTATATGAAATAGCATTTGCAACATCTGTATTGGTTAACAGTGTAAATTAAAAGATTAATTTATGAATCTGATAATAATATAATTAGCAAGCATTTGATATCATTTTTTTAAAACAATTAATTAAATAATTTTCCGGCAGTTAGAATGTCTAATATTAGGATTTCGATTTGTAGAGAATCATTGGAATTGTCTTTTCATAAATCGAGCTAAAGAACTTCAAAATGATAAACTAAACCTTTCATATTTATTAAAGACTTTTCCCAGTAAAAGTTCCAACAGAGTTCTGTCTACTGAAACTGAGAATGAAAAGAAAATACCCACAGAAAAAATTTGTCATGAAAGATAAAGAAATTATCTACAGAATTTGAAGAGGGATTTACATGTTGATGTAAATTCAGTATGCACAACAGAAAATAATAAGAAAATAATATCTAGTCTTATTGTTAAGGAAAATTTTGATCCCATGACATATCCTACAATGTTTCCTTATGGTGATCCTGGATGGACTGTTAACCTTAAGCATACTCAAGGTACTTGTAATTTTATTCATTTACAATTTTATATGTAAATAGGAAATCACCCTGCATGGATCCTGAGATGGGTCAATTAAATGTATTGCCGACAATTCGATGATCGTAGTATATAATCTTTATTTGAGTACAAAATTTAAAGGTCATATTGACTGTGCAATAATAGGTATTATATTATTATAACACCATAATGTTGAAATAGTAATACAGTAACGATTAGAAAAATAATATTATTATTTTTGTGAGATCAAAATTACAATAACTGTCTGTCAAATAAAAATAAATTTTTAATTTTTTATAAAAACTGATAGATACCACGCGCGTTTACGCGCGTTTCTTTTAGCTAGTTAACTGAATAAATAAATAATTGAATCTTAATTCAGGAGTATTTTTTGGGTCTGTAATTAAGATTTTGACTTTAAAATAATGACAATTCGAATTACAAATAATCGCATTTTATTAAAATTTCATTTTAAATAGTATCCTTTTCGAATTTTTAGTTTTGGGCTTTGTAAATGTGTTTTTATCACAATTCGGCACAACTTTTATTTTTCTAAAAATTCAGTTGTCGGAGCCAACTTCCTACAGATATTAACTTTGAAAATTTTCTAGTACTCATACTCTTTAAACATGAATTAGTTGAAAATCTTAGCTAACATTATTTATTTGATTTTATTTATACTTTACCTATTTTAATTTATTATTGTTACCTAAGTAGCGAATTGACTGGAAAAAGATATGAAAATTACCGGGATTTTACAACTGACCTGAAAAACTTAATTATTTTGAGAGTTCGATTATAATATAGTTTTCATTTAAATCGTTTGCAAAACTGTAAGGAAAAGAAATCATAGTTTAACAGTTAACATAAATTTTAATAAAAATCTAATAGATAAATACCGAAATTAATTCGGAGAAAACCGGGAATTTTAACTTATAAAAATTCACTAATATTTTCGATATTTTGTCAGTCCAAAAATTAATAACTAATAATTTTTTATTACCAACGAATTTAGATTTGAAGTGCAAAATGTTAAAAGAAATTATGGAAAAAGTGGAGCAAAAATTGAGTCTGAATAATCCCAACAAAAAAATTTTGCGCAGTACAACTTGGTGGGAAATCTTCATAATTACGAACGCTATGTTTTTGTTTTGTATTTAACAGGACGTGAAAATATTAAAAAATACTTACAACTTTTTTAGAAAATGCTTTATTTTTTAACTTTTCATTGAGAAGTTGGGCTTCTTCTAACGTTGTGGCAGGGAATTCACTCAATCCCACGTCTTCATCATCATCTTCTTGAGGTTGTCATAATCCATTTAAATGGGAGCAAATATACTCTACCATTGCTTCAATTGTGTTCAATTTTGTGCAGAGCCTTATGTCTTTTTACGTGCCTAGACAATTCAAAAAATTATTTTAAAAAATATCTTAAATTTCGAAGAGCGCTCGTCATTTTTTTAAATTTTACAGAAAACAGAAGAAACTGATTTTTTAAAAACAGTTTAAATAAGAAATTACTGTTATATTGCATAAAAAAAGTTAAAATGGTTGTCTTATATGAAAGTAAACTGGAAAAAATTGATATTTTTCTGAGTTGAGTCTTTTTCGATATTAACGATTCATTTGAATAAAAAGTACATTTCTTACAATTCCATTCCTCAAAATCTTCTGGCTTATCAAAGAATTTTGACCTGCTTTTTCTTCCATTGTTCTTAGGACAATTCTTTTCCTTTTCGATTCGTTCTTCTGCACTCTGTTAAAGAACAAACAAAAACATCTTCTATGCAAAAAGTTACGCAAAGAAACATTCGAAATAATTTTGTAAAATGAAAGTTAGCCAAGTAAATTATAGGACTAAGGTAAATGTTAATTTTTTTGAATTGGAATTAATAAATTTTTAAATAATATTTTTTACATTGTAGTTTTATAACATAGTTTAATATAGTCAAAAAAATGAAGCATGGTTGAATAATTATCTAAATAATTTAAATCAAATTTCTGAATAGTAAAATATGTATTAGTTAAAAATTTAGCTTGAATGATTTTGTAAGTATTGGTGTTTTAAACATATAAGCGACACCTTCTTAGGCCCTTTATCAATTTATTTTTTGAGTGTATTATTAAAATAACCTTAAATATATATACAGATTTAAACCCAATTATTTATATAATAATTATTTGTGAGTTCCACGAATCGTTCAAGAATTGTAGGCTTTAGGTCGGACTAAATATTTAAAAAAACGATTTTTTAGCATAAACAATTGAAATTTTTCGTTAGTGTATTAAAATGTCTTTAATTTTGTTTCTAGATTTTAATCCAATTGATATTTTTTGTGACTGTCATAAGAAACGGCTAAAATGTAGACTGTAGGTGTAACAAAAAATTAAAAATTTTTATTGTTTCTAATTTTCAAGTCTACTTTTCATAATTTCTCGAAAACTTGATACATTTTGAACAGAAGTTTTTTTTTATATTTATTACCCGTCAAAATAAATTTGATCGAAATCGGTAAAGAATATTTTGACATGTAATTTTAGCCTAAAAATGCCGATTTGTTTAGAAAATAGATTCGTGAATCTAGATCACGAATCTTGATCAAAAACTTAAAAATTTTCATAAAAATTAAAAGAGATTAATGATATTTGAAAAAAAATTAATTACTTTAGGACAAAGAAATAAGAAATATTATTACAATTGCTAATCATGGCTACAAAACTAAATACAATATTTTACCACTCCACATTTAAAAAAATTCGATTTCAAAATGATTGAATTTGGTAATATTTTATAGAATTGAATAAAAAAATTGGACTATTTTGAAAGAAAGTTAAAAAAGAATGTCTACTTTGACATGTGTCTTTTTTGATTTATGGCTTTTATAATATTAATATAATATTAATATGATTGAATAACATTAATAAATACTTGAATATTACGGTTAGAAAAACTTACTCCTATTTGAGGAACCGTTGGTCCCGAATTATTGGAAACTACTGTATCCCTTATTTCCGGTTCTTCAAGCTCTTCGGCGCCATTTTCTTTTTCGTTTTGATTTTGATTACTTCTAACTTTTTCAGGTTGACCACTATCGACTTGGGCTTCATTGTTCAAAATGTGTCTAAAGTATTTTATTATTATTATTTTATTATCTAAAATATTTTTTACTGCATGTTCATAATTCTCTGTGAAAAAAGAAAGTTTTAAAATTTTTCGAAGTGATACTTAAAAATTATAAGAATCTTAAAAATCATCAAAAATCCCAAAATCTTCAACATTCAAGGTAAAATTTTTTTTATTACTAGATTATAAAATTAAAAGTCAGCATATCATTGGAAAGTAAATTGAAAGTACTTTATTTTAGGTAGCAATGAATTTAAAATTATTTACAAACAAACCATGGACCGTCACACATGAAATAATTTTTTTTTCTAATTATTTTTTCTTTTGTTACATTTAAGTGGAAAGACCATTTAAATTTCCAGCTTCAAAAATCATAATTACAAATTTACGTTGCTAGCAAATACCAATTTTCTTCTGTCATTATTTAAGAAATGAAATAAATGAAATTAAAAAAATCTAAGTTTTTAGTTTAACCCTTTAATGGCCGAGTTTTTTGACATTTTTTTAGAGACATGATGTACATTAGATTTAATTATTTCAGTATTCAATATGAATAAAAAATTTTTTTAACACGTTTCACCCCTTAAAACCACCTTACCTTCAATACTACACCGAAATATTGGAAATGATAATCAACAACCCTCTGACAACCACCCTTAAAGTCAAAAACCACCCCATATTGATAAAAATTTTTGTAAATGATTAAAAAAAGTTTGTGAATTCTTAGTGCATGTAAATTATAAAAAAGTATTTCTTAGCTACAAAGTAAAATTTAACTTTAAAATTAGAAATTACTTTAACTTAAATTTTTTTTATTACAATTCATTTTACGAGTCTTATTTCTGATATTTTCAATTTTTTATCAAACATTTTACTTACGTGAATTTTTAATGTGTCGAAGGACAGACCAATGATTTCCCTCTGTATTGCACCATTCTTTAGTGGGCGTAAAATCTCCCTTCTAAGTTAAATGTTTTACTAAGTCCTTATTGGGATAATAACTTGATACGATTTATCCCTTATTATCAAAAATAGCCCAACACCTCCTAATAATTGCTGTGCCGGAATCAAATCTAACTATCGCAAAAGTGGGCGCTAATGGGGAGTCATCTATACCCATTGTGCCCTCTGTTAAAATATTGATAACATTTGCTCAAAATAACTCACAGCTAGAAATGTGGGGTGTTAGCGATTCTACTGAATTAAACTTTACACAAAAGAATTCTGCACAGTTAACTATATACTAGAATACTATCACATTACATTTAAAGAAGAGTTATTAATTCTACACGAATAAACCCTAGACAAAAAAATTACACATTGAAATTAGAATAAATTTTTTTATAAATTAGTTTTTAGTTCTATATTGTTAAATATTACACCATAAAACTTTCCACACAGTAATTCCAAACACAAAAAAAATATTATTCTGATTGTCATAATTAAAGTATTAATTCTACGCCGTTAAATTAAAAACACAAAAAAACACAGTATATTATCAATCTTTTATTATGACATATCCGTCTAATACATGAAACAATATAAAAACAGTTAGTCGAAATCTCTACAATTAGGCGCAAATAAATGTTACAATGTTTACTACGAAGTATACCGCTTAACCATTTCTTCGAACATTTTTACAATTATTGTACATGTGGATAAATAATCGATGACAAAACTGATTTTCAGAAAATAACGGAATCTTCATGTACATTATACTCCGGGAAATATTTCAATCTGATATCATTCAGGTGGGGGCAATCAACAAGAATATGATTCAAGTCTGTCATACTCGCGTAGCAGAGAGTGCACAAATCTTTCTTGAAAACTCTGTATCTAACCTTGTTTAAAATTATATGTTCGGAGTAATAGTTTGTGAGCCTAATCTGGGCAAAACCACGCTTATAAATCAAATTTAATCTACCTACTAAATATGGCTGCACCCCCTGGACAATATCGAGATGAGGCCAGACTTGTAAACTACTAGAGCGAACCCTATCCTCAAGATACCTTATACGTACCAATGCTGTGTAGCTCGACAAAAGTTTTCCAGAATGAGCGATTAAATCACCCAGTGGGGCTTCTATCCAGATATTCAACATATTTCCTTCATTATAGAAATGCCCTATAGATTCAAACCAATTACCACATCCACCGACCACCCCGGATCGCGCCAGGTCTATCTTTCTTTTTCCTTACATTATTAATTAGTGACCAAAATGTATTTGTGTTATGCGCTTTTGAGACACTGTCAACTAAAACTCTTTCAAAATTCTGCTTTTTACTTCGCAGTAGGTTATCGTAACGCTTCTTATTGATCAGGTAAACTGAACGCAAATTCTCACAATTTCCTACAGCAAGTAATCGTTTATAAGACTCAGTTACCCCCACCCTAGCCAGACGACACTCTCCATCGAACCAGGGCTTATCAAATGTCCTTACTCCAATCCCTCATCCCACTACTCGAACCATATCGAGATCCTTCGCCACTCCCACTATCCTTTCTATCAAGTTGCCATTCAGAGCGTCGATATTCTCGTCTCTAAACGCAACTTCGTTCTTTCATCTTATACTATTTTCAAATTCCAAACTTTTATTTTCGTTAAAAACAAATTTACGCTTCCCTAAACAAGCTCTATTATTTACATTACTAAAATTATCTATTTCGTTAGATTTACAATAAACTGCAACTGGTGCATGATCCGATCTGGAAACAACCGGAAGAACTTTAAAATTTGTCACAAACTTAAAACTATCAACAGACACACAGACAAGATCTATCATACTAGCAATGACCGATGGACAAAAAGTGAAATGTGCCGGAGAATCCCCCTCTGACCTTCCATTTAACACACACAGTCCATTATTACTTAAAAAAGTGATTAATCTTTTTCCTCTAAAATTTAAAGTAGAATCATTAGTTGTTCGCGCCGCCAAGAAATTATTACAATTCAAAAACAAGTTTAATTTTCTTTCAAACCTAAAAATTAATTCGAGAAAGTAAAAGTTTAAGTCGTGGCACTTAGTTGACAGATTCTTGGTAAGCGATCGGATCTGACCTAACCAATAATAATACAACGACTTTCTTGCAAAATATCATTTATTTTCAACAAAAAGACTTTAGATTTCATGTCCCCACATGAAATTAAATCAAAAATGTCATACATAAGCTATAATTATGGTGACGACTATAGATGTTTTCTACTTTTCTGAAATTATGCTTTTATGTCGTTGCATAAAGACCGTTAACGAAAATTAGCAAATTTTTATCACAAAAGTCCTTCTGAATTTATAACAAACTGTGAAAAAATCGAAAAATTTTCCATTTTTTAGAAGAAAAATAAAATATACCGGTCTTTTCTTAAGTGACTAACTTCAGTATCTTTACCCTATCTGTGTAGAATTATCTGTTGGATTTAAGGCGTACAGTTAATAAATTCATTTAAGATGACAAAAATTTTATTTTGTGGAGAATTTTCGTGTGTAGAATTTAAACTATCAAAATTAAAAACTTTAATTAATTAATTAAACTGTGTAAAATTTTTTTGTATCAAATATTTTCTGTAGAGTTTAATCTTCAAAAATTGATATTAAGTGAAATTTAAAGAATTTAATTGTCTAGAATTTAATTGCGTAGAATTTAAAAAAATTAAATAAAAACAAAATATGTGTGTTTAAATGTAATGTAAGAGTTTTATCGTGTAGAGTTAATTAACTCTTATGTATAAAATTTAATTGCGTAAAATGTCTACTACTCCCTTTTAAATAATAGGGGGTTTTATTATTTAAAGGATAAAAACATTTATGAAACGTTTTTTTATTTTTTAACTTTGTAAAAATTTAAAATTCTATGATTTTAAAAAAGTTCTTGATTCTAAATTTAAAAAAGGATTTCAAAATATTTATTTTGAAGGGCAGTATATTTACACTGTTACGAACCGAAGAAAATATTAATTATAAAAATTATTATCCTTTGTGTCATGGAGGCACCAAGCTGCCGAAATTAAAAGAAAATTCTGTTTATTTTATAGGATCGTGTATCCTATTTTAAAAGAAACTGCCAAGCTACGTTATTGAGAATAAAGTAAAGGGATAAAACACAATAAAACGATTAAGACCCTTTAATACATTTATTTTATAAAAATCTCGATTTCAAAACATAAAAATAAAGCAAGAAGATAAAAAGAAGGAACGATACATGTTTTAAAAACTTACGCTACTGCTTAAATTACCATCGCAAGCTAACGAGGGCGAAGCGTCGAGCTGATATCCGACGGGCGGAAAAATGCACACACTTATCAAAGCGCGAAAATGTCAAATAGTAGCGCACAAGAATGCACTCACGTGTCCACCGAATTCAAACAGCGCAGGCACCACACGTATTTACTTTAACTTTTCGTCCGTCTAATTTTAATCACTATCTATGTAGTGGATTGTGAAAATTGAAAAATCCGACTCACGGACGGGCTTAGTCCCGGCGTCTCAAAATCGTTTTTATGCCTCTGAAAAATTTCATTTTTCAATGTTGTATTTAATTACGGATGCCCGTAGGAGTTTTAAAAAATGTTAGAATATATGCACATATTTTTATTGGTGATGACATTTTATTTTAGACATTTGTAATAACAATAATATGTGCAAACATGACATTTCAAGAATAAGGCCCGAATCCGTTTCCATCGCATTATGCTGACATGTGAATTTTATTATAAAAGTATTGTATTAAAATTTACAAGAAATAAATTTTACCACTATAAAAGAAAATTCAATATTTAATTTTATTAGGTACCACCGTGACATACACTACATAATTTAAAACTATTTACGAAGTTAAAGTCAACTACGTTTATCATCAACTATTAAAAAGAAAATTATTTTTTTTCAAGAAAAAAAAATTTAATAAGAAATTTTTTTAAATTTTTAGATTAAAAATTTTCAAAACCTTTTTTTCTTACATATTTTTCATATTAAATTTGTTCGTTTAATAGTTTATTTAAA